GAAGGAGGCTTTCGGACGCCCCGCCCCGGCGGGTGCGGGTCGCCTGCGATGTGAGGGGCGGAGACCGCGGCGGTTTGGGTGTTTCCGCAGCCCGGCCACCTCGGAATTGCTGCATCCAGCTTCCCTCACACTCCCGTTCCGCCTTGGGCCGCTCATCTCTCCTGTCTGAGTCTCAGTTTTCTCACCGGCAAAGTGGGGACGGTGATAGAGCCCGTGTCATATAGTTGTGAGGATGCAGTGAGGTAATGTGGCTCTTGGGCTCAGCACAGTGGCAGCTCGGTCACCGTATTCTCATCGTCTTCCTGAGACTCCTTCCTACTTCCTCTCTCCTCCCCCTCCTTTTCCCTTTCAACACACCCTTCGAGAGCTGCTCGGTGTCTTGCCCGGAGAATATCCTTGTCGTTGTCCCATTCTGCACTTCTGTGTGTACCCCGTCTGATTCCCGGCTCCAGCATCAGACAAGTCGGAGACGCAGAAAGGAAATACAGAGTAGTTTTGCACATTTCCCTCCAGCGATCGTATCGAGGTAGATTAGGTTCTTTGCTCTCTCCTACTAGTCCGGTAAATCTGTCTTCTCTCTCGAAGATCTAGATTTTCAGTCCCATACCCACCAATTACCAACTGTTTGACAGCAGAAGAGATAACCCAGGCTCTGAGCCATTGTTACCCAAGCCACATTAGTGGTTAGCGCCCCGCCGCTGCCGCTGCCGAGGGGTGCGATAGGGGTCAAATCACATTCAGCCTTGCGTAAAAGTACTTTGCGAATTACTAAATAGCGACGTATAAATGTGAAGTGGAGTTACTATTGGTTTAGGTTGTGACCCCCTGCTGCTGACAGGGAATTGTATTTTTTTCCAGTACAGCAGAGTGCTGGTGTACATGTTTAGAGGTCCTGGATTCCAGCACTCCAGGCAGCTCCTCAGGAATGTTTCCTGGTTGCCGAGAGGGCTCTCCTAGTAGTCTGGCAGAGCGCTTCTGCAGCTCATCACTTAGCAGAGCCCAACCCTGTACTAACCCCCTCTTCCCTAACGTGAAGCCTGCAACACCTAGCTCCGGATCCAAGTCCTGCCTCTGTCTAGTTTTCTGCCGGTTCTGCACCCTTTCCTCCACTGCACTGGACAAATCAAAATTTTATCTTAAGAAGACACTTAATCTGGCCCAGTCCTACCCAAATCATCCGGAGGTCTGCAGTAAGCTAATTTAAGAAGTATCTTGCCAGGTACTTTTCCCGTGTTATTTCTACTTCTTACAAACCCTGCAAAGGGAATCTTGTTACCACCTTTAACAGATAAGGAAAATGAGACTTTCTGAGGTGAAATAACTTGCCCACAACAACAGGAAGGGCCATATGGTGAGATTCAAACTCAGATTTGTTGTTTAACCTTGGTTCAAGCACTTCTTGACAAAAATTAATCTGGGTCATTTTTAATTAGTTCTAGTTATTAACTCTTCCTTATACTGAGCCAGAATTTTTTGACATCTGTCGTCCAGCTATGCAGGAAAAAAAACCCTAGCTTTCTTTCATTTGAAATGAACAATTGAAGACAGCACTCCTGCCCCTAATTTTAGTTTTATCGTTTTTGTTTATCATGCAAAAAAATCTGCAGAATTTTTAGACCATTGTTACACACTTGGCTTTTGCATTCTTCACCACGTGGCTCCTAAGGACGTGTTTCAGTTTGCCAGAACCCTAAAAGCCCAGTGCCTGGAGTTGAGCACTGTAGTCTTATCTCCTGGGCTCAGATTAAAAAAGAGCTCTGTCCTTTTCGATCTGGGCTCCACTTCTACTAATGTAACCTGAGACTGTAATTGCTCCGCACCCCCTACACCTATCAAGTCGTTAGCTACCACTGCCATTGATCCTATTCATATGCAAAACTCCAGAAGCTTTCACTGCTTCAGTCCCAGCTGTGATAAGCTCGGTTTCCTGGTCTAGATGCCTAGCTCGATTTTGTCCCTCCTCGGTCTTTGTTAGCTTTTGGCCCATTCTTAACTACTGTCTGAACCACTTATTTGGGACCCGTCCTATTCTGCCTTATATTGCTTTGATTTAGAAATCCATTCACTAAACATGTTTGTTTTCTGCCACTGTCTGATGTTAGACATGTAAAGATGAATTAGATCAAGTTCTTACCGCAAGGAATCCATGTAGTCAGAGAGTATGAGAACATACCTGGGCAGATGCTTGGTGAGCTAATTAGGTGCCACTCAGTCTGGACAGCCTCAGAGATGCTAATTACCTGCCTCAGTCTAGAGAGCACTGATTTTTCAGTCTGGATTGTATCTTGGCTCAAATCCAGCTTCAAGCTAGGAAGAGTAGCCTCTGGAAGATAGTATGTAAATGACTTAAGTGTAGGCTCAGGGGGTAGGGAAATTGGTTAGCTCCACCCTCAAGAGTTAACAGGAGGAGACTAAGGTCCCTTGGGGTTTTCAATTACTATCTTAGAAGGGAGAAGTGTGGTTCAGGGATCACCATCACCGTAGTGTTTCATCTCTGACATAATTGTTATTATTTTTCTGTTTTCTAGTAGTGATGAGCAGCAAAACCACTAAAAAGAAAGGAACTTTATATGCTTTGTGTGGGGTAGCAAAATGAGAGATGCTGGGTGACCGTGTCCCTCTTCAACAAAGACTTAAAGGGAAGGGATATAATGGGAAGTTGGGAGCTGATAAGAGAGGGAAATGGTTTGAGTCCCTGGGGTGTGCCCTAAAGAAGAGAGCTGGGAGCTGTTTTGCGGCTAAGCAGTAGAAAACCCATGAGATGTTCTTGATCAGGAGACAAAAAACTGACCACAACAGCATAACTGGACAAGGACGAACATATGGAGAGGTCCGGGAGATGGGGGCCTGGCTCAGCCTAGGGGGAGGTTTAAAGAGAAAGTGGCCCTCAATCTGAGACCTGAAGGACAAGTTAAGTAGAGGAAGAGGGTCCTGGGAGAAGAGACCACATAATGAGCATACAGAGGGGTGAGGTCAGGGAACTGCAAGGAGGTTGGTTACTGCAGTAAAAGGAGTTCGATGGGACCAGGCAGGAGGTGCTATCGGCACATGCAGGCGGAGCAGGGGCCTTTGTACTGTGCTGAGGCCCAAGTGTGTGCACCTTATTTCCTCTGTCAGGCCCTTGGGGACAGTCACTCTGGTGTCTGATACAGGCAGTAGATGTTTGGTAAATTTGGTGGGACTTGTGTGCTAGACAGACTCCTTTTAGGAAAAAAAAAAACCAATGCAAGTTTCATAAAGGGTATGAAGTAAGTATAGAGATAAGGGTCTCCCAGAAGTCCAGGGAGGTCAAGCCAAGCCAATGAAATGGTAGCACCACAAACAAAACCACTCTCTCCATTTTCTCTTCTACTCCATTGCCTTTCCCCTACTGCCTTTCTCTGCTTGTGCTCATTGTCTGTATTCCTTGTGGCTTTTCTAGTATGGGCCCTCTGTGACTGCCCCAGCTCCGACTCTGTGATCTTTTCATCTTCTGGATGAAAAGCTGAGGCAGGAATCTGCTCATAACTTTGAGCAAGGCCATGAGGCATTGATTATTGGCTGGGCTGGACTGTCTTTGGTCAGGAGCCCTTCGTGGTCAGGGTCGGGGCTGGGCATTCATGGCACAGTCCTACAGCTAAGACTGTGAGATGGGCAGAGCAGGCACCCCAGCACATGGCTAGCTCACGCATTCTAATATCTATTGAGTGTTTTTTATGTGCTAGGCACTGGAGATTTGTGGACAAAAAGATGTAAAATGTAACAGGTTTCTGTATCTGTATAGGGTAATATCTGAGTTGAATTTGAGCATTTCTAGTACCTTTCTTGAGAATCGCCCAATTCCATTTGACTAGATAGTCATTAGGGCGAGAAAGGTGATTTCTGAGAAGATGTTGATAAGTTAATGGTCTAGCTCTAGACTAAACAGCATTCTTAGCATCTTTGTGAACTCACCTTCTGTTTATCTGTCTCAGTTCAGTGACCTTTAGGTGTACCTGAAAGTCTTGGGGTAGTTTCACTGCTCCTAAAGTAGCACCTGAAGTACAGATCACTGTACTTGTAAGGCGAGAAGACATTCCTTCCTTCCTTCAGTCATTTCTTCTTTTCATTTAACATTGATTCAGCATCTTGGGCTGCATGGTAGGGCAGCATCTTCTTGTCCTAGGTGCTGGAGAGCAAAGATCGATAGGACACTGTTCTAAGGGATCCCTCCATCTAGTAGGAAAAACAGATATGGGAGGAGTGGCACCTTAGGCTGGGGGGTTAGTGTTTGCAGATAGTACAGATGTGGGAATTTCAGTTGCTTTGGAGGGTGGGAAAGAGGTTGCTCTAGACAGGAGTCAGATTCTAGAGTATCTCATACTTCATTCATTGCACTTTTCCTGCAGGGTGGGCATCAAAGGGCAAGGGACATTGAGAATTTTAAGCATGGAATTTTAGTGATCAGATTTGCATTGAGAAAGATCATGCTGGTGGCTATGTGGAAGGTGGGTAGAGGATGGAGATTGTGTTAGGGAAACCGTTTAAGACTCTTGTAATAAGAGAGATGACAAGAGGACGGCCTGAACTAAAGCTGCAGCAGTGGGGAAGGGTAGGAGAGATGGTTAGAAGTGGCAAGAAAGGTAGGTAAGTTTTAAACTTCATTTGAAATGCCAAAGCAGTTATTTAATCCAGAAACTCTCATCATTGTTGACTCTTTATTTTTGGCAAAGAAAACAATCCCTTAAACTGTTTACCTCTTGTTTCTTTGCACAGCCTGTTAGGAAACTGAAAGATGGTGCTTTCTGGAACTCACATGTTAGCTGATGGGCATTCCATTTTTGTTCGATCCTCTTAATTGGTTTTCTGTGTACCCTCGTCCTTCTCTCGTTTTATTGCTAGTCTTTTGAGCGACTTTGGATTGGTAACATGGTAGTTCATTTGACCTGGTAGCTCCGTTAGGTTAGAATCAGCGCAGTCAGGGATAACATTGTTTTGCCTTTTTATTTAGATTGAAAGATGATGACAGTGGGGACCATGACCAGAATGAAGAAAACAGCACACAGAAAGATGGTGAGAAGGAAAAAATGGAACGAGACAAGAGTCAGAGCATCAGCAAGAGGAAGGTGAGTTTTGTGCTGCACAAATGTCGTTGCCTTTGGACCTGAGACGCGATTATTTCATAGAATCTGTTTATCTGGACGATACCAGGTTAACTTGTTTGCACAGTTTTGTAATATCTGATTTCATTCTCAAGAAAAGTTGTTGATTCAGTTCATTTCGGGACTCAGAACTTTTCCCTTGCCCCAGGACTTTGAGATACTGCCTTGCTTGCCAGGATTCTCCTAGCCTGAGGTAGGGGAGGTTAATCCTGGAGTTTAACAAGGCTGTTATTTGCTTCATAAGCTGCTGCTGAGTATTTCAAATCCTGCACATCCTTTGAAATTTTAGACTCTTCAATTAGTAATAGTCTAAGCTGAAAGTGACTTGGAAAAGAGAAAATTTAGACAATGAAACATAGATCAATTTCTTGAAAAATCAAAGCAAACATTAATTACTTCATTCTGCAATATTGAGTACCCTCTAAAGGCAAGCATTGCAGGTGATGAGAGAACACAAAGGTGAAACTAAGGATCAAGGAGCTTATATTTAATGGTGTTGATAATAGTAATGGACATTTATTGAGCACTTACTGTATGCCAGGTACTGTGCTAAGCTCTTTACATCTATTTTGTGGTCCTTTTGGCAACTCTACGGGGCGATTATTATTATTTTCCCCATTTTGCCGATAAGCGTCTGAGGCACAAACAGGTTAAACAGCTTGCCCCAGGTGACTAACAGTGCTGGGCTCCAGGAATATGTTGAGATAAGATACAAACATGAATAGCTACATTATGAAGTAGAAAGTTACAAAAGCCATAAGAACACTGATAAAATGTTATAGGAACTTGGAATCAGTTAACCACTAAAGAAACTTCCTGTGTAAGCAAAATCTGGGGCACCGTTGCAGGTAGTTGAGGATGCATCCTCTCCGAATTGTGGAGGTCATAAGGGGTGACGCTGTAAACTCTTTTCTCAGTCTCAGAGCATGTGAAAAAAGCCCAGGATTAAACCACTTTCTTTAATTCACAGGCTGTTGTCCCTGGACCAGCAGAGCATCCCCTGCAGTACAACTACACTTTCTGGTACTCCAGGAGAACCCCCGGCCGTCCCACCAGCTCACAGAGCTATGAGCAGAATATTAAACAGATTGGCACCTTTGCCTCTGTGAGTACATAGTGGTGTAATGTAGTGAGCCTTGGTAGTAAATTCATGCCTGTATTTATATCATTGTTTATTTACCCTCCTGGTAAACTATTTAGGATTCTTGTTTCCTTAGTCAACTGATCTGAGCCTCTGAGGTCAGATTTGTTCATGCTTAGGTTTCTCATTAGACATCCATAGGTAACGACTGGAGTTATCAGAAGGGGTAAATACAAAAATACAGGTTTGTTTAAGTAGATATTTATATTGAGTCCTTAACTATGAGCAAAGTGTCGGAGCGAGTACAAAATTTTGTAGCACATAGTGTCTATTCTCATGAGGCTTGATGGTAAAGTTGAGTAAAGGTCAAAAGTTTCTTTTGTATTTAAGGACCTCCCATCAAGGTTTTGGATGTGTTAGTGATTATGTATAAAGTAACATCTTTTTCCTGTTTTCAGAAAGAAAATGAAACCTCTAATATTTGTTTTTGTGGGTGCTCTCAGTACAGAGAGCCCAGGATCTGTCTCTTCTCCCGTGCAGGTGGCTTGGTTTATGTTCCCTGAGAAGCTAGCTATCTGCAACTAAAACCAAAACCAGTCTTATTCAACAAAGATTATTATGCATTTACTATGTATTGTACATTCCATCTCTGGGCAGAATCAAAATGCAGGATTTGTTCTTATAATAATTGAGCTATCTGTCCTGTTGAAAATGCAAACACTAGAAACTATAATAGACAGTAAACGATTCAACAAATTAGTAAAGAGGAAGGACACAGTGATAGGCACTTTGTGTAATTTCCTTCGATTGTTCCAATAGCCCTGTGAGGTCATTGATGTTGTCCATATTTTACAAATGAGAACAGCGAGACTTGGATTAAGTATCTAATCCACAGTTTCGAGTCAGTTGTAATTTACTTGACTAAGTAGAGGAACCAGTATTGAAACTCAGGTCAGGCAGGCTGTAAAAGCCACCTTCCAAAACCTATATTCTTTCACTCTTCCTGTGTATCAGAAGGCATGACAAGAGGCTCCAATTTTAAAAATATTTGCTTACTAGACAAGCTATATTTATTTATCTGATTATTATTAATCAGATATACTGTACATATAACATAGTCATCTGATGACTAGGCTGGGTTTATATGTTCCCTGATAAATTTAGGCTTTCTGAAATAGTAAAAATAGCTTGTGCACTGGTGCACATTTGGTTCAAGAAATGTTTGTTGAATGAATTTAAGGAACTTGTAGGGTTCTAGAATGAATTAAGGCCTTGCTTTTAGGAAAATAAGACATGGCCAGGGATTTCTAGTTACAGAGACAGAAGAGCTCTGGGAGGTATGGCCAGAGAGCACTCAGAGTTCCCAGGACAGAAGGAGGCCATTTCAACTTGCGGAAAGCCTCTTTGGGACGAGGTGGGTTTAAGGCTGAAGTTTAAAAAATTGAACAGGTGTTAAGGGAAAGTAATTCTTGCCAGAGAATTAAACTTTTGAAAATATCCATGTACAGTTGACCCTTGAACAGTGCTGGGGTTGGGGGCGCGGACTTCCACGCGGTCCACAGTTGTGTGTGACTGCAGTCGACCCCCTGCGTCTGCCGAGTCCCAGCCATGGGACAACTGAGGTTGGAAATGCCTGGGTCATTTGAAAAAATAGCGCGTGAAAGTGGACCCTCGCAGGTCAAACGGTGTTCAGTAGTCAGCTATATTCCTAACATTCCCAAATCGATCACAGAAAGTTCGTTACCTGCTCTGTGGGAATGTTAGACGTTACAGCCGTTACGTTGTGAGATTGTGAACAACTGGTTGAGCACTCGGGGTCAGAGAAGACACTGAACCGGGGAGTAAGTTTTCACTCAGGATTCTGTCCGGCTATTTTATGGTGATTACAAATATTTCTAGCATTTTTCTTAGCCTCTTAAGGAAAACATATATGAATTGCCCAGCTTGTTAAAGGAGGGTTTTTGTTTTGTTTTCTTTTGGCACGTAGGCTGAGTTGAATAGAGTTTATCATTAGCACCATCTTGGGTTAATGCTTGTTCATTACTTGTTGGATGTGTGACCGTATCTAAAGTCCCCTGTCAGGTAATTCAAGGCATTAAGAAATGCCTCACAGTATTAAGTTCCTCACAGAGAAATAATCGTATTGTGAAACCTTTTATTAAACCCAAGCAGTATTTCCCATTGGTCCTTTATCCTAGTATTTAGCAACATGTAGAAGTTCTGGAAATTCGGGTGACTAAGAAGGCAGTGTTTTGACTCGGAAAGAGCATTGGACTTGGGTCACCTGTTCTGGTGCTTGACCATGGGCTGGAGCAAGTTCTGAAACCATTTTCTCAACTGTAAAAGGAATAAGGTAGTTGATGATTTCTGAGGTCTTTTCTGCACCTCATATTCTGAGTCTGAACACAGAATCTTTCAAATTTAATATTTCTTGAACTGCTTACTTCATTTCTCATGGTTTAGGTGTAAGATTATGGCTATAAGATTGTATAATCTGGCTGTAAGCCTGGAGGAGACCAAACCATGATGGCAGTGCTTGACTGGGGAATTGGGGATGGCCTGTGTATCTCCCCCACTACCGCCTTCAATTCCTCACTCACAGTGAGCCACAGTTTCTAGTGCATGTACTTTATTTCTTTCCACTGTGTTAAGGTGGAAAAGATTGTTGCTCATCGTGTACAGATGACCACTTGTTAACCCAAATCACTGTTGGCAGTTAGGCATAGCGATTGCTAAGATGAAAGACTGCATCGAAGTCCTAGGAATGACATTCTTGCCTCACTTCTCTGTAACATGAAACATCGCCTGTGTCCTGTTCAGGAACTGAAGAGACAGCCGTTTCACACAGTTTAAGGTCTGTTTCTCCTCAGTTGCTTTCCAGATCTAGAAATATGACCTGAATCTCTGTCTACCCAGTACCCATTTCCAGCTACCCAACATGGTATCTTGCTGTGTTTGTTTAGAGCCTCCTCAACAATGTAGGCAGATACCAGATGTTCTCTTCAGACTGTTCCACATTTTCTCTTGCCTCTTAAAGCGTGCCTCTTTACTGGCCAGTACTTTGTAGATGTCCTCTGTGAATCACAGAGGATTAGGAAGTAATTTCTCCCATCAAGGCACTAGTGAAAGAAACAGCGGTAGCATCATGAGTATAAATAAGTGCACATTTGATGGAGAAGTATGTCCAGTAGGAGCAAGGAGAAACAAATGTTCTAGCTAAGAAGAGGGATGTAAACCCCAAGTATGAGAGGGAGGCTAACTCCTCCTTGGTTTTGGACCGTCTTGGCCTTAGGTAAGGCACCATAGTATAGAGTAGTACATGTGGGTGATTCTGTCACTTGTGCTCAGTAACTAAACAGAACTAGAATGTATTTCACTGTAGCTAGTACTGTATTTGCCAGTGAACAGTCTTTGATCAGGAGGTGATCTGGTCCAGGCTGAGGCTACGTGGCACTTAATCTACCTCAGGACTAAAGGGCTTCTATTGTGTAAAACGGTCTTCACAGCACGTGATGGAGCATGCAGCTCCACCAGCCTGAGGCTCCTGGCCGAGGCTAGCATTTCTCACCTAAAGAGTTTGTTCTTATGCTAGCAACATTATGTTTTTCTTTTATCCAAGTCTGCCATATTCTTTTGTCTAACATGCCTTCCCATATGGTCCTCCAGGTGAAACTGTATCCTCCAAAAGTGTAGCCTGTAACAGTGTCTTCCATGTTTATGCCCTTCTCTTAGATATATATTGTATTCATTCAAAGAAAAGACACATCTTTTGTACTCTGGGGCCTTCTCTTCGCAGGTGGAACAGTTCTGGAGGTTTTACAGCCACATGGTACGTCCCGGGGACCTGACAGGCCACAGTGACTTCCATCTCTTCAAAGAAGGAATTAAACCTATGTGGGAGGTAAAGACTGAGGGCCTCAGACTACTTTTCTGAACATGTTCCCCCCTCGCCCCCGCTAAGGTTTAAAGTATTTTAAAATCTCCTCTCAAAACTGCATCACTGTTTGGTACATCCTTAGAACTGGTACCTCTGAGAAAAGACACAGATGCCATTGTTTGTCTGGGTCGTTGATGCTGGGGGGTTTTGAAAGATCGTTTTATCTCTAAAATGGTGGTATAACAACACTAAAGGATTTTTTAAAAAACTACCCTTATCTCTATAGAACTGGTTGTGTGTGGGCAATATATGATCATGATATACTTACGATTAAAGTGGATAATAGATAAGCTAATAGGCAATAACTGGGGACCCAGAGCTGAGCGCCATGGTCTCTGCTCTGCTGTAATCCATAATCAAGTCCAATGCCAAGGCATTTTTTCTAGAAGACAAATGTGATCGCATCCCCCCACCCCCCATTTTTTTTTCATTCTTATGTAGCTCTTTATTTTTCACATGATCTTGCATCTGATTTGCCTTTCAGGCCTCGTCTGCCATCACCTCTAAATCTTCCCTTCACCGCAGCTCAGCCTTCCTTTGCATCTGCCCGTCTCACACTCAGAGTTTGCACACACGTTCCTCCCGGTGCCGCAGAGCCCTTTGCCTGCTCTGCCTGGCTGCCTCCCGTGTCTCTCAAGACTCGGCTTAAGTGTTTCTTCTTGAGTGTTTCTGTCTCGTTCCTTAACTCACTGTGCACATCCCTGTGACAGCAGCACCCGTCCCGCCGTACTGCCATAGTTAATCGTCTCTCTCCTCAGCTGGACTGGGTCTGGGTAGAGACCGTGGCTTCATGTCTGTGTATTTGAGACATGGTGACACTTGGTAAACTCTTGGCAAATAAAGTGAGGAATAATCTGTGTCTGAAATCTGACATCATTTCATTTTGATCCTCAAAGTAGCTTCGGAAAAAGGGGATTCTTTTTAAGGGGTACGTTTAGTCTTTTTTTGTAATGTCTTCTATGAGGATTCCCACCTCGTTTTTCTTTTTTTCCCCATTTCTTCTCTCCCTGGTCCTACCACCATTTTTCCTGTGAAGTTGAGTGATAGGAACGTGACAAGACCTCTTAGTGTTCAAGGGATCTTTGGCTTTTTACTGACTTTATGCAAAAGATAAGCTGTGAAACCATATTTTAATGCTTTGTGTCTTTTCACAGGATGATGCAAATAAAAATGGCGGCAAGTGGATTATTCGGCTACGAAAGGGCTTGGCCTCCCGTTGCTGGGAGAATCTCATCCTGGCCATGTTGGGGGAGCAGTTCATGGTTGGGGAAGAGATCTGTGGGGCTGTGGTCTCCGTCCGGTTTCAGGTAAGCCTCCCTGGGGGCAGGTCGGGGGTCATGCATTGCCTTTGCTCTCCTCACTGCCTCCGGTTGGCTGTGATGACTCCCTCTGTCCCTCCTGTAGGAGGACATTATTTCCATATGGAATAAGACTGCCAGCGACCAAGCCACCACAGCCCGAATCCGGGATACGCTTCGGCGAGTGCTTAACCTACCTCCCAACACCATTATGGAATACAAAACCCACACCGACAGCATCAAGTACGTGTTGGGGGGGGTCTGGGGGGGCATCTCCCTAAACTTGGCAGGAGTAGGTCCTTAGTTGGGTTCAGAGGAATATGGTCGTACAGGAGACTGACTTATGGAGAAGGGACAGATCAGCCTTTCCCTCCAGTGCCTCTGACCACTGGTAGCAGCTCTCGGCTGGCAAGGCTCCCTGCACGCCTGCGCTGTGGCGGAGAGCGCCCCCCGCAGAATCCCGGTTGCAGTGCCTGGGCTCGCTTCGTTTACACAAGCTGTCTTGTCTTTCGTTGGCTAACGACTATCTTGAAATGAAAGACAAAGTGCTTTTCTTTTTCTCGCTTTTTTTTAAGATAATTTTACTGAACAGGAAAGTCCTCCTCCCTGTCCGCCCCTCCCCCACTTTTGCATGTCTTTTTAACCTGTTAGCCTCAGTCTGTTTCTTTGTCCGGGGAAACTGACTTCTGATCAGGAATGATGACTCCATCTCTTTGTGTGTGTAGAGCTGAAACCCCAGAGAAGGCAGAATAATGCGTTCGTGAGAGTAGAATCTAAGAGAATCATGAATGCCGAAGGGAAGATAAGCTTTGCGCTCTACCTAGGGCTCAGGGACATGGAGCTGGATATCCACACGTGAGAATCACTGGTTAAGGTTGCTCTTTCAGTGATCGAATGTCGTAAATAAATCCAGGTTACCATGAAGACATCGTGGGGAGTGGCTGTTAGATATTCTCCAAGCTGGCGGGCGAGCTAGCCAACCAGGAGTCGGAACTTTTAGGTTTACTTCTGACTCCAGCATCCCTGTGTGCCTTTGGCAAGTCCCTGCCACTCTGCTTTAGTTTCCCCAGCTGTAAAATGGGGGACAATAATCCTTATCAGGGTTGTTGGCAGGCTGATCGAATCTTTGTAAGTGAAGACCCTCAGATGGAGACTGCTCTGACAGGGCCAAGCGTTATAATTGCTGTATCATCATCATCATTAATAATATCATCATCATGTTATTCTTATTAAGAACTAGTAGTGGGCCCAGCGATGGTGTTCAGCAGAGCGGCCGTTGGGAGTCTGTTCCACGCATTCACAGATGACGTTGCGGGTGGAGTGGGCTTGAACTAGCTCAGGGCTAGTTTCTCACTGGGAACGCTGCCATAGGAGTCGGTCCGTAATTAAATGGCTTGGTGTGACTCATCGTGGCCACCAAGAGTTATCAGCTAGCCAGAGCCCTGTCTGTTTGGCTTTACAGCCCTGCGTTAGCGTTGTTTTTCTCCAGGCAGATATTTCCTATTCTTTGTTCTGGGGGCAGAAGTAGTTTCTGCCCTCCAGCCAGACTCAGTGCAGGTTGGAGAGCTCCACACATACTTTTTGTAGGACTCTTATGTTCAAGGTTCCTGAACCCCCCCATCCCCCCAAGGGCAAGCTTTTCACCTGGATAGGAAAGGGAAAGCGGTTTTTAAAACTCTCCCCTCTCCACTGCTCTCCCCCTAATACCCTGAGGCAGTTCTTCCTGACTTTCTAGACATGTGTACAAGTCCTTCCGGAGCGTGGGAGAGCCCGCGGGCTTTTTGCCTTGGTCTGCTGCTCGCTGCTTTATGTAGAGGTCTGCCTAGCACTCCCGCCCTGCGGCTGCAGGGCTCCAGATCGCCCTCCTCGACACCCAGATGCTACTTGCCCTCGCGTCTCCCTCTCTTTCCTCCCCCAACGTGCCAACGTTTTGCACTTCCACTAGAACGCCAGGCAGGCTGGGCCCTCAAAGGCTCCTTTTTCAAAACCTCTGGAAGCCGCGGTTGAATGTGCCATGACCTTCTCCCTCTCTGGATGGCACCATCAATGAAGCTGGCATCATCGGAGCCTCTTGTTCTGTTGGCGTGCCACCTGGAAGATCCTTCTGTCCTGGACAAGAGGAATCGAAGAGCATTTGATGTTTTAAGAACAGGCTGACACGCAGCAGCTGCAACAGCAGCTGAGATCACTTAATAAATGGTGCTAAACTAGCTTGTCTCATGCTCTTGCTCTTTATGGTGCATCAAAGAAGTGGCCCTTCAGACTGACTGTCACCATATTAAGGAACGGCACAGACTTCTCCACGGAGGGCCATCGGGGGAATGCAGCCTCATTTCCATAAGCCTATTGTACAGTGTCACGTGGTGTTTCGTTGCACTTCTGTTGAGGTCTGACATAATGAGGTGACATCTAACTCTCAGAATGAGGCCCCATTTCCTGGTACTTGAGTTTTAGTTCCCATCTAGTCACGCTGATAAAAGAACAGCGATTTCTGATGTAGAATTCAGCTTGGAAACCGTTAAGGTTGGAAAGGGGGGTCCTTGGCCTTTGCTTTGCTGACTTCGTTCGCCTTTACTTCAGAGACCTCTCTTGCTTGGAGATAAAGCCCTGCTTCCACCTGTGTGCGGCTGGACGTCTCTGGCTTCCTCGCTTTGTGCTAACGGGGTTTTCTCACTGCCGAAGCTGCCCAGGCCACGAGCTCTTTGCCAGCCTTCTCCCTTCTGCTTTCCCTGTAGAGCCAGATCATCTTCCTCTTTAAGCCGTCTCTGCTTGCAAGATCTCACGGTTCTAGCCCTCCCCTTCTCCCAGGGTTATTGCGCATCAGGATCTGGGGTGGGGAGGCATCTTCCTCCTCTGTGAGTTTGCTCCTTAGGGTAGCCGACCGTAGCACAGACCCGCCCCTCATGTGCTTTGTGGCTTGGCTTATATGAGCTGCAGCTTGGCCTGCAGGCCCCTAACCTGCATGTAGAATTTCAGCAAGCCTCATGTTACTTTAGATTTCCTTGGGAGCTGCCACCAAAACCGGAAATCATTTTTACAGACTACTAGGTCAGGTTGCCTGATAGCCTCTGCGAAGGTGGCTGTGGGCCTAATGAGGAGCTTTCCAAAGTGGTCGATCCATTTTGGAAGCGCCACCCTATGCTTGTACCGTCCTGACTGACCACCAGTCTCCCCGTGGCCAGGGATCCCACAGAACACACACTGGGACTAGCACCCTGGGCTCGACATTCTGCAGGTATTTGTGTCATCACTTCTTTTGTTTATTGCATATCAAAATGGGTCGAAGTACTTAGAAAATGGAGATGTGTGCTCTGCGGAAATGCCTACTCTGTTTTCAGCGTTTGTCAAAGAATTACCTTCTGTGGCATTTTTCCTCTTGCCTTCCACCATTATGTTACATGTATCGACCTTAATTTCAGCTAATATTTAAGTGGTCCAGGAGATGAGCTTGACGTCACATTCCTGAGTAAGAGATGGTCAGAAAGCACCAGACTGACCGTGAGACCCCTCTGATCCTTGTCACATAATGAACAGAAGCCAGCACTGTTCTGCTTTGTTCTGTTCCTTGTGGCTGTTGCACAGGTATGGCTTTATTCGAGCCAGAGAACAGCAACTGCCGGGACTTGAGAATTCAAGGGACGTGAAGGAAGGAAGTATTCTGGAGAATACGCCCGCGTATTCTGGAGATTAGGGCTGCTGGAAATGGTGAGAGGGCCTTTTTTAGGAGTGGCTCCGCTTTCTCAGTCAGCTGTGCCTCCATCTTGCTGTGTTTCAGTCCAGTTTCCAATGTCCTTTTTCAGCCGTTTGGTTTTTCCGGCCTCCCCCTCAGCGCACTGCTTGTGGCCTGTCCCTGCCGCACTCCGAGGTGGGCTGTGAGGCACACGCTGCACACGACACCTGGTGAGCTGCTTCGCCACAGAGGGGGTGCCTGCCCGCGGCCGCCTGCCCTTGTCACATTGCCAGCAATCGCCCCTCAGGGGTGAACAGGTCCCGTTGAGAAATGAGAAACTTGTTAAATCGAGTTTTAGTTCAGGTTCATGGCTCCTTTTAAGAAGGCCAATAACGGTTGAGGTTTTATAGGTTTGGGTCCGCTAGGCATCAAGTGACTCACTATATTCTCCATTTTGAGAAGAAATCTTATAACAGCCAGACTTGCAGCCTAGAATCACGGGACCACCAAGGTAAAATGGCACAGAGCCATGTAAAGCAGCAATGTCTTTTGTGAGGAAATTCCTCTTTGGAATAGTCCCACTGAATCCTTTTGTGCCCCTGGCCTGGAATGGAAGAGGGGAAGACAGGGCCAGCTTCGCTCAGTGGGACACAGTGTTGGGGAGCCTGACCAGACCCCTCTGCAGAGGAAGTTGAGGGTAGGTGACTTCTCTTTATTTCTTTATTCTAGAGGAGAAATGGGTCAAATCGTGGGGAATTTCCTCGACCGTGTGTGGATTTCATTGTACTTAAACATTGAACTTCGTAGACAAGGACCAGCCATCCCTTCTATTATGGCCAAATCATAGCCTGGTGGCATGATCACACCAGTGTAATCGCTGGCCTGGCTTTGCATTTGTGATATGTACTCCCCTACTTATGTTCAAAGTAGAGGAAGCTCAGACTAGCAGGCCGAGCTAGTCCATGGATATTGGGGGCCGGCCAAGTGCAAGGCTGTGAGCCAGACTTTGGGTGGGGATGGGGACAAGCAGAGTCACATAGAAATGAGATCTCGGCTCTCAGAGTTTGCTTTCTGGTGAGTGAACTGAGACAGGAGTGATCTTTAAAGGACTCTGTTAACCCTGTCATTTGAATTTGTTCAGAATGCATTATAGGCTATATCAATCCAAGGTAAATTTTTTTTTTTTAAAGAAGCTTTATTCGTATCACATGTTTAACATTTAACTTGGGTTCTTCTTTTACCTTTAAAAGAAGTAAGTTTTAATATTACCTAATATGCCTGGGATGCCAGATGGAAAATAGCTAGAATATTCACACCCAGCTTTAGGCAGTGGATTTGCTCTTAGCCAAGCATTGGGCTACGAGAATGAGTGGTTGTGTCAGCGACTATAGCCAGTTATTTTATTTCCACTGACTCCATGTGAGGAAATTTCTTTACCCAGATTCTTCATGTCGAGGTTTAACATATGAGAAAGATACTTCTGAAGAAAATGGGAGGGCAGCTTAATACTGGAATGGATTAGAGGGGAACTCTTAAATCCATATTTCTGCAAGTTCTTGACCTCTGGACTAATTTAAGCCTTTCTGGAAACAAAAGGATAAATGAGATGGAGCTTCAACACAACCACGTAATTCTTGTTGACATTTAAATTGCTTAAAATAAAATTTAAATCTCAGTGTTAAAACGAGAGAGGGGTTTCTTGGGTCATTGACCAAGCATCGGATTTTGCTTTGCCCTTAATTTGAAGTGAAAAGTGAAATGGCCCGACGTCACTCATGGACTCAAAAAAGGTCATCACACGACCATCTCGGAATGGACTGTGGAGCAGATGCCTTGCTGTGGAAATCGAGTCTGTGAATTGACAGAGACTGACACACTTGTTTGGAGGTCTTCCGATTTTCTTCAGTTCGGTTATTTATTAGTAGCTTTGGTAATACTCCCGGAAGAAACTGTTAACTGCAAATCAGCCTCTTATTCTAAGAGGTAGATCATTAACTTACAAATGCTCCTGTTCAGGAGAGGGACATAGTAATGAAACTGGTATAAATACTGCCTGGAAGAATGAATTCATTGTCTCTATTTAACCCCTCTCTGTTAAGAAGAAGAAAAGCTACAAATAGAAGCCCTGGTAATAAAGTATATTTTAGTGACCATAATATTAAACCTGTAATGAGTGACAGAATATGTTGCCACCCTGGGTATTTTCACCCTTTTAAACCAAGGATAGAATAATTGACAGGAATTTTAGATTCAGCACAGTTTGCCCACTATTTATGTAACTCTTAGAGAACTTTGTCCCTAATGGGGCTGGAAAGTGGCTAGGGCAAAAGGCAGGACGTCAGTTTCTCTGAGAACACTCGAGGTGGGTCGGGGCTCTTGAGCACGCAGGGACCTGGGTTCTCCCGTCCTCAGCCAGCGGTCAGCGGCCTGTGCTTTGTTGAGCAATGCCCTGCGAGACTTCCCCTCACTCCCGTTCTTAGCCCTTCCTAACCCCGATTTCTAAATTGAACAAATCAGCATAAAAGTTGTAAATGAGCATTCTTCCCTGCAAATTTTGAACTGCCGTGGCCTCCACAGCTTAAATTTTAAGATAGTTACATGGCTCTTTTCAGCAATGGAACCTGGCACGGGTTTAGGATCTGAGGTTAGAAGGGTCAGAAGTTGGGCATGTGAAAGCAGCCTCGTTTCCCCGTTGCATCTGTAGACGCCACGATGCCGTTGAGTACCTGCCTCTACCCTCAGGGTGAGGCTGATGGAGGAAGACAGTTTCTACCCCCTGTCCCCACATCGCACTGCTGCCCTGCTCCAGTGACTTGGAGGTGTCCTCAGTGGCGGCCGAGCTTAGCTCCAAGCTCATTGGCTTCCCTGGTGGACTTGATGGAGGGGAGAGAAAGACTGCGCAAAGCCTCGGGGGAGTAGCGAGGGCCTGGCTTCGCCAGTGGAGCAAGCCAGGAGGAGTGCCAGATGTCCCCGAAAGGCGCTGGCCAGCGCTGCTAGCCTGAGTGGAAGGTCTAGGTGGGACCCCCACCGCTGTGCTTCGGGTGTGGGTGGCTCCGCCCGGCCTTGAGGGGGAGTGGGGGTTACGTGTCTGTTCTCTCTTTTTAAAAAGCTTTTGATCTGAATGTGCTGTTGTGTTTTTTGTCTCTGGTTTGCCAGGGCCTGGGAGGAGTTTCATGGCCTGGTGAACAGCAGCGGCCGCTGATCGGACGCTCCCCCTCTGTCTCTCCCACTCAGGGTAGGGCCTTGTCTCTTCTCTGTAACCTTGCGACATACCTCTCAGCCATAGGGCCCGTCTCCCCAAGGGGCTGCCCTCTACCCAACTTACCCCCAACTTTGCCTCTGCTGGCATTGGGTCTGCTGCCGCCTCTCTGGCTGGTATCACAGTCTCAGAAAAACACTGAGTCCCAAACCACTCAATAAATCTCTTC